GATATTGTGTCAATGTCTGCCCTGTTATCTCCTCTCACCTGTTTTTAAATGCATACATAAGCTAAGACTTCCTATTGTTCAACTGGCCCCCCTCTTCTGTATAACATACATCTTGTGGATAGCAAAACAGTCTGAATAAGAGAAAACTGCTGTTATTGTGATGAACAAGCTATTGAGATGATTGTGACATTTCCTAGATGTTGCAGCCCCTCTCAGGTTTATCAGTAGGTCCACACAGTCACGGACCTCCACTCTTAAAATAGCAAGCCAGCAGGCGACGCTTTGACATCTCAAACAAATGTCCATGCCCCCACCCCACTCTAACATCACACACTAAAATACACACACATATAAACACACATACCTACAGATTATTTCTGCCCCCGAAAGGTCAGGACCCTCTATTGAACTTTGATCCATTTGAGCGCCACTGAAAGATGGCCGTGCCGGGTTCAGAAAGAGAGAGAGGGGTTTCAATCAGGGTGATTTGTTCTCTTCAGCAGGGGTCCTCACACTGCTCTGTTAGCAGGCTCTGAAACTGCGTGAGGGATGGATTCAGGTCGTTGAGGGTTCTTAGAGAGGAACAGGCTTGAGATTAATGATGGCTGAACCTGCCTGCAGCGTCCAAATGACAAACCAGTGTGGAAACATGCAGTGCTTTCCATTCTGATGGTTTCTATTAATTAGCTACAAAAATATAAACGCAATTATTTAACAATATTATTTATATAAAAGATAGAAGGGGTTTTTTTTATTGCAAAAATGTTGCTGCTATTGACCAATTTGCCGAAATCTTAAATTGCCCATCCTACACCTCAGTGAGCTCTCTGCATTACACTCTTACTGCTTCAGTCGTCTTGTGTTGCCAGATGTGGCGTTTGAGACTGAGTGGACCCCCATGGTTCTTCCACTCCATTAATCAACACATCCTGACACATACACTGTGTCTCTAATAGACGTGCTCAGGCCCAGAGGCCTCAGTACAGCCTACGTTGAGATCAGCCAGTTTGTTGACAGATCTGTTGTCAGACCAGCCCGAGTGTGCATGCTGTGCATTTTGCAGGTCAAACCCACACATTTGGAACCAGCACCTTATTCCAGCGATGTTCACATACACCCATAACGCTGTCACACATTGTGCAGCTTTCGTCCTCACTGTCTAGTCTCTCATCTGCGGCCTGTGCAGAATAAAGGTCTCTCTGTTGACCACACACCATACACACACACACCACACACACTCAGCAACAACCTTGGGAACTTCTGCACCAAATGAAATAATTAAAGGTTAACAGTACTCTCCCTTTGCACCCCCCCAACTCCCACTCCAGCCCTGCATACTCCACCCCTCACCAACCCACACACACACACACACACACACACATATATATGTTCTGGTTCAGCAGTATACACAGCTGCGTCAGGATAGTGGTAATGACAGTGTACCACCCTGAAGCTTATCATATTTCCCATAAAGTGGGAAAGTGTAGCGGTTGCCAGTTAATGTGGTCGCCGTGTGTTTGAATGTTTAAAAGAGAACATACCAGTGCTGTGAACTTTCCTGGTGATTTACACGTTTACAATTAGGCTTCTGCTTTCTGTGTCTGAAATCGCTCCCCTTGTGCCAACTACTAATCTCCAATTACTCTATTCAATTATATTTGACTGCCTGAAATATCAGTGTGAAATGTTTGCACTACAGCAGTGGTCCAATATTTTATAATTTTTTAATTAAACTATTAATTATTTTTTCTGCAATAAACACATTACATCATGTAGCGATTAGTTTTCATTCACGTGCTCTCTTAGTTGCTATATTTAAGGACTGGTTTGGTTCTGGACCTCTTGAAATACGAGAAAATTGACATGACTCTGTTTTATATATATATTTATGTATAAATATGCATTTTTAACTAGTGGACCTCTGGAACCCACTCGGGGAACTACTACAGTTCACAAATAATACCCACAACTTTGTTTTAAACTCATAATCACTCATCGTGGTACTTCACTATGTGTGTCTCATCCATCATTTTGACTCTAGAATTGGCAGTGATGTAGAACTGCTGTTACTGTGAAATTAAATATTGGGTATTATAAAATATGATGCACAGTTGAAAGACAAGGAAGAAAGGAGTCATTTTGGATATTTCTGAGGTTAGTTGTCAAAATTGTAAGAGTTGCAGGCATGGACACTTTGTACTTCTATTTTAGTGAAGACATTCATTGACATAATTTCCCTAGCCCCTTACCCTAACCTTAGTCATCCAAACTAAAGCCCTACCCCTAACCCTTAGCCTAAACCTAATTATAACCCTAAAATCAAGTCTTAACCCTCAAACAGTCCATTGGAAAAGTGAGTACCAGCCAAAATGTCCTCAGCTTCCAAAAATGTCCTCACTCTGTAGGGTCTATGCTTTAAATATAAGTACAGGACCACACAAACACAGTCTATATTCTGTAGATACAGAACATTTAATGACTGTGTGCCTTGTATTCTATTTGCATATTTTTGCATAATTTCACTTGTATTGAACTCTTTATTGATCCAACAGAATGTTTTTGGTCACACCAGCATCAGTCCTGACTGTGCCGGCCTCGATGCTTCTAAATTTGAGTGTAGACTGTGACTGTGACAATTCTTTTAAGCTCGATTTATGTAATCACTGTGGCTATTAATATCCTGCATCACACTGTGTCAAACTAAAATAGACAGTCTTATTTAAAGGGATGATTTCTATGTTTCTGTCCTAGCTGGTGAAGCTGTGCAGTGGGATGATCGAGGCGGGCAGGGCCTACGTCAGCGCCAACAAGCTCTTTGTCAACGGCATCAAGGACCTGTCGCAGCAGTGCAAGAAAGAGGAGACGATATCGGTGAGTGGAAGTGACAAAACCTCAGCTGCGCTGGAATCTGTGCATCCACAGAGGAATGTTTAGTGGTCAACTTATCAACATCTTTTCTCATCTATCTCTTCCAGTACATTCCAGTGATTCCCCACTGGAATAACAGCAGTAACGCAGTATAAACAGTATTGTCCAGACACGGAGTCCCTCAGCTTTTTTAAACACTAGAGATGTGACCACATGCAGACAGGAGATGTTTACACTGCTAGTTTACATGGCTGGGAGCAGTGCGATCTGAAACCTGCTTCATGGTTTTCTTTTACGAAAACATTTGGACTAGATTTTCTGTCAGAGTGAGCGTCATCCAGGAAGTTTAAAGATTCAGCAGATGAGACATTAGTGTGTCCACTACAATTACAATTGAATCTTTAAATTGTTTCATATTTTTTTAAGTATACAGACATATTTTTGAGCATGTGTGTGTCAACATTGCAGGAATGCCTTGAAAAGTGTGGGGAAAGCCTCCAGGAGATCGTCAACTACCACATGGTGAGTTTTACACATGCACACACACACACACACACTCACACTGAGGTAGAGCATTGTTCGTACACTCCGAGGTCCTCTTGGCATGTTAACATCTTTCAGACATCCAGTCCCTCCTGTGCCCAGTGTTACAAAACACACACACATGCACACACTGACTCTAACTGTGACCACAGTTTGTAACGGTGAATCTGTACTTGCTGGCCAGTGTGTCTGATTCAAACCACATGCTTCACCAGATGTGTGTAATGCATGAACACTCACACACACATACATGAACACACACTCACAGGTTTTATTCACATGAGTGAATTTTCCTTATGACTAAGTGTGATTATGAAATTTTCCACTCCATGAATCTGCTGAGACGCTGCTACAGGTTTGAAAAGCTTGAAGGCAAATCTGCATTTAAAGAGATCAATATGTGGAAGTCATCAATATTGAAGTTACATGTGTCAGACACTTAAACTGCACTGTTTTATGCTGACAAGACAATAGCATGTCCATGTCTGCCCATGATTATGTGTGTAAACAAAAACATCTGCCAGCAAAGAGGTGAAGTAAGGATTTGTAACAGTTACAGAGAGACAGTAAGAGTCAGGAGAGAAAGGAGAAAATAGGAGAGAGAGGGAAAGTGAGCAGGAGATTAGATGTCTTCTGGAGGAGGGGGAAATGGATACATTTCAAGATTCGGTTGCAGGACATAGCAGATAATAAACTGTAGCTTAAGGAAAAACGTTTGAGTTATGTATTCATGTCCATCTGTCTGTCCCATTCTTGTGAATACAATATCTCGTTGATGGAATTTTTTCACATTTGGTACAAACATTCTCAACTTTCGCAACTTTCAAGGATGAACTGATTAGATTTGGGTGGTCAAAGGTCAAAGTGGCCCCACCAAACATTTCTTCTGCCTCTGGAAGATCATATCTCAAGTCTGCCTTTAGGGATACAACCTCATTCCTAAGTAGTTAATCAGTTTAACCATTTTTGCTGCATCGCATCGTTCTGATCTCATAGCAAGTGAAGTTGTGTTAACTCTTTATCTCAAATATCTCAATGAACACTTGCGTGTTTGAAATGAAAAGTGACCCTCTGATATTTAAGCTGGTTAGAAGGGATACGTCTATCCTTCCTGAACTAATTCTTAGTTACAACACTAATCCATTTAACAGTAGCTGAGATGCCTGAGTGGAGTGATTGATATTATAATCCAAAGAGCCTTGTTGTTGCAACAGTGGCTAAAAAACTAGTTGTTTGAAACTGCCTCATCTTTCTGTTAGAATGCTGGTGTTGGTGTCCAGCAGACTGCTGTGTTGTACTCTGACCTCATCAGAGACCTTTTCCCTTTTTGCTGTTTTTTTCATTTCACAGCATTGTTTCATTAATTCTGATTTGTCACCCTGATTAACTCTATCACTTGCAATAAATGTTGCAAATGTTTTCCCTCGGCGATCTGAGCCTTGGATAGAAGTCTCTTGTTTCCTGCTTTTGAAGTTTGATCAATGTTTTGATCACAAATAATGAAAATGAAGTGGTTGAAGGATATTTAATCAGTTTTCTCAGTATAAATCAACCAGTTGGATGAAATGAGCTTCAAGCAAAACATTTTCTACAATAAAAAATGAAATCCTCCTCATTCCTCTTTTCTTTCTCTCTAATCTGTCCTGTTCTTTTCCCATATTTTTTCATTTCATTCCACCCAGAGTTTTTTTTAAATCAAATCAAAACTGTAGATAGGATCCATCAGCTGCATCAATCTAATACAATCCTCTCCCCTCTCTCTCTCGCTTTTTCTATAATAGCTCTCTGTTATCTCTCTATATCCAAAATGTGTCCTGAAAATTTCTCTTGTGTTTGGTTTCTGCCATTCAGGCCATTATTCACATTGTTTATTGTTACCACCTGTTTCTTTTCCTCTTCTCCTCCATCGTCTCTCCCTCTATCCACCGTATCCCCCTCTCTCACCATTCACCGCAGGCGTCCCACTCCTCCACTCTAACACCCAGGAATTACTCTAATAGCTTGTCTGGCAGACAGTAGGAATGGAGCGACACAGATAGGAGAGGGGAGGGAGAGACACAGTGAAAGGAAATCTGTATTTGTTCGACCACCCACTGATGCCTGTTTCTGCACCTTCTCTGCTCTCTTCAGGAACAAAAGACGGCATTCAGACAGGAGAGAGAATCTCCCTAGCATCACATGATAGCTAAACATGATAGCTAACACACATAGTCCTTCCATGAATCTGAGCAGGTTAAAATTACACTGCACAGATTTGTGTGAGGTTGCAGCTTCTTCATTTATCTATGGTGCAACTCATCTTGTAAAATCAACCATGCTGTTTTGCTATTTTTGATCTCTCATGTTATGTAGGACATTTTAACATCAAGGCATCATGATCTTAAGAGTGTTGGGAGAGTAAACATGAGGATGTTTGTTGGGTCATGCCCAGGACACTGTAATCCAGAGCAAGTTCGGGTGGAACATTTGGATTAGTGCACATGTGCACACAAAGTCTGTCTGGTGGAAGTGATTTAGATTTTTTTTTATGGGATTTACTTCTGTTCTGTGGAACTGGCAGATATGTTACACCACTCTGGAAAGTACCAAACCTTCATTTCTAAACAGCACAAAAGAGCCACAGTCCCGTGACTCATTTGGCATATTGAGATACTGTATAATCAACTCAATTACAGAAGCAAACTCCATGAGTGGAGAGATATCTGTCCACCGAATTTGCAAATACCTAAATGCTTTCATTAATGGGACTGTTTTCATCTCATTTTTATTTTTTAATATAGTAATAATATATCAGCTGCATTAAAAACTTCCTTTAAATAATTAAAACCAAGTAACTATCCATCCATCCATTATCTATACCGCTTATCCTTTTGGGGTTGCGGGGAGAAACTGTTTATGGAAATATCTATGTTACTGTATTCTTCATAAAGATTTTGGAATTCACATAGAAATATTTTCTTTTTTTGAATGCATCCAGCTGGCTGAAGTGTAGTCCATATGTACCTATACACTAAACATTTTATGAATGTATTTGAAAATTAGTGTGAGCAGTGAAAGACATGTTTTGGTTATAATCACTCATAATGCAGCTATTGTTATATTGAGGATAACAAAATGATATGAGAACCATTTCTTTGTGACCTATATTAAAGTACTCTCCCCAAATAGTTCAAACTTGCTTAGCCTACAGTATATCTCCCTTAATTGGGATCCCAGACGCATGTCATTTCTGTTCTGTTGGTTTCTCATGTGACCAAATCGGAATGACAAATTTCATTAAAATCTGTGACATGCCAAACAAAGGTTTGATGATTTGACACGGAATGACCCTGAAGTGTTTGACACCGAACTGACCACTTGATATCCACCATTTTAAAAGTTCTTCAGTCAGTGGGGAGCAGGACATACTGTTCTATATTCCCACAATGAGCACATCAGACTGGATCTGAGAAAACCTATAGTACCCACCCAAACAAGAACCAGCCTGTGACGTCATCAGGCTCTGCAGGGACGTCATATGGGTGGAGGCTTACACACACACACACATATATAAATATAGAATAAGCCTGTGGGCTAATCCTCAATGTGTATGTTTATAAACGAGGGATTGCTATAGAAAGGTTAATCCACAGGCTGATTGTTGTTTGTGTGGGTATGTGGTTGTTTGTGTTTGTATCAGTGCACGTGGGTAAATCAGGAAGACATGCACGTTCCCTTATAAAGAAGGACGTTCTGTTCAACAGCAGCCATTTTATTTCGTGTGATCAGAAATGTAGTAATGGACGAAAACTCAAATGTGTAGATGGAGACTGAAGCTGCTGTTCTTACTATGCTCAAGAAACGGATGGAAAACACAGAGAAGTGGAGGAGGACGATGAAGCGGAGTACTGTAGTAAAGGAGAAGAAGAAGAAGAAGGAGTGAGAAACCCATAGTTAAAAAGGAAAAGACGTCTGTGAGGCTAAAAATGTGTTGAGGCAGCAGCTCAGTGTGTGCACGTGTGTCTGTTCTTATCCCTCTTCCTCTTCCCCTCCTCTGCCTCTGGCCTCATCGGTTGCTCTGAGTGCAAGGCCTCATGTTGCCATCTTGTGGTGAGATGTGGCCACTTCAGATTTGAAGATTAATTCAATTGTTCTCAGCTCCCATCATTTGTTTAACTACCCTGCTCTTGTAATAATGTGTTCACGTGTCCAACTCTCTCACCATCTCTGTCCACAGATTCTGTTTGACCAGGCCCAGAGGTCCATCAAACAGCAGCTTCACACCTTCATTAAAGAGTGAGTACTTCATCACAATTAATAGCAAAGGTTAATGGTTGCTTCTTCCTGCTGTGATGCATGTTCAAGCGTGCAGCCTTTCTTTAGAGGTGCTCTGATGAAAATAGACATCTTATGCTCAACAGCTCTTATGAGGACTAGCCATGCGTTACCTCCGCCAAAAAGGTTGTTTTCACCAATGTCCAGTTGTGTATTTGATTACACAAAAACTACTGAATGAATTTCCACAGGAACTTGGTGGAAGGATGGAACATGGGCCAAGGACGAATTCATAAAAAAATTTTGTTTACATGTCCATGGTCATGAATATTCCTGAATGTAAACTGTCTCTTTTATCTTTAATCAGGGATGTGCGTAAATTCAAGGACACAAAGAAGCAGTTTGACCGGGTGCGTGAGGACATGGAGATGGCCCAGGTGAAGAACGCCCAGGCACCCAGGAACAAGGTCCACGAGGCAGAGGAGGCCACACAGGCCCTCATCCTCAGCCGCAAAGCCTTCAGGCACCTGGCGCTGGACTATGTACTGCAGGTGAAAAACACACGTACTGCGTATAGGCTTGTCATTAAGCTGTGCTACCAGGGTTGTCCAGTAGATGACACTAAAGCCAAATACTTGAGATAATAGATTAAAAAAGAGACTAACCACATATAATCCTCCTGTTGGTCTGAAAAATACAAACTTAATACAATCCACATTCTGATTTTTCACTTTTTACAGATTAATGTTCTTCAGGCCAAGAAGAAGTTTGAAATCCTGGATGCAGTGAGTGACCTATTTGTCCCTTTAATATCACAATAGCATCTGTGCATTATTATATATGTTCTGTGTGTTAAATATATGTATCCTGATGCTGTGTGATGTGGTGCAGGGTTATGCACACAGCTGTATTCAAGTGTTTCCTCCCTGTGTCTGCTGCAGATGTTGTCCTTCATGAGAGCCCAGTACACCCTGTTCCAACAAGGCTTCAACATCTTAGATGAGATTGACCCTTACATGAAAAAACTGGCTGTACAGGTAAAATCAAACAACCCAAAAAAAGAGTGCCATGAAGGCACAAAACAAGAAAATACAGAATTTGTGCACTAGATTACTCTTACTGTGCTTCTACTGCTGTTAGTGTATTTGGTCAGCTTCCTGTGTGGACAGCAGCTCCTGAAGAAAATTCATTAATTTAACTGTTGTGCTATATGCTTGTTTTCGTCTATTACTAAATCTGATTTTGCAACCTTTACTGGAATTGTGAGTTATTTTACTTTAAGTGCAACTTAAGTACAATAACACAAACACAATCAATTATAAAATAAAAATAAGAATGAACTTTATTTCTGTAGCGCTGTACAAAAG